GATAAAGCGTGAAGCGTTTTTCATTCAAACTGCGCCTGTGGAATAAACTGGTGGTGTGTTTTTAGTTTGATGTGGTGCTGAGGAGTCTGGCTCATTATCGTATAGGACTGATTTGGCCTCAGCCACAGAATAGGACCTGTTTAGACCCCATTGGCCCTCTTTAATATCCCAGGAGCCACCATATCACATAACCCCCCCAAAGATGTGGTTATTCAAAGAGTGTTTGGGGGAATAAAAAGAGGTATAGAGTGGGTCAGGAATTTATGCGCCACTGGTTGCTGGCAGACCAAATCATTGCCACATGAATGATGCTTACAGGTAGGTATAGTACGGTTTAGACCCAAGCGAGAGCAAATAAGATTAAATTAGACAGCCAGACAGGTAACTTGATGTTTGCATTAGCTGTGCATTATGGCCTCCATGTGTGTATTGTATATCCATCCTCCTACAGTTGCTTACATTGCTCTGTAATTTGCACAGACTGTGTCCTGGACTGGTTAATTAATCCTGAAGACCAAACCAGAAACCACTGCCTGGTGATTTTTGATTGGGACGGTTATATTTAGCTGTCTGAATGCCACTCTGAGGTGGTTGCTGTGGAAGTAACTGTGAACCTTGGCCTGCTGGGTTACTGACTGTCAGAGCTGTAAAAATGGCTCTCTGTTAATTGGAAATGCCCTCAAGTAGTTTTATATCCTCCCTAAAACTGCTCTTCATTTGGGAATGAGGCAGGGTAAGAAATAAATGAGACAATTTTAGCTTATTAAAGACCTGTGTGGGGTATAGTTAAAAATAAAATGGGCAGGCAAATATTTAACTGTTAGTTAAACCTTGTTATTTTCAGTATTTCTTATTTGTCATGCACTGATATGGACGTTAGGCCTTATACGATAATTACTTACTCCTAGGTAGGGGTGTGACGCGATACCTACTCCACGAGACGAGGTAAAACACGAGGTTGGTTTCATGAGAACAAGACGAAAGAAGATTTCTTTAATAATTTTAAGAAATTTTCAATAATTTGAATGGAAAACAGTCTTTTATTCAACTCAACAAAAAAAAATCACAAAACTAGTTAGGTTTTTAAAATAACAAATGAATGGTATTTTACTTCTATTTTAATTAATTCTATGCAGTAAAGGACTGGCAAACACTGGAAAATATTTGCTAATATATGAACGGAAAATAGATTTGTATTCAACTTGGAAAAAAAAAAATCACAAACTGCATCTGCAAAAAGATATGCAAGCACTGCAAAACATTTAGCGATAAACACTACTGACTGACTTCTCATGAAAAATCAAACTCCTTTCCCCAAACTGAACTTGAAAAAAATCATGTAATTTTTGCTATTTCATTTTTAATTTTTCTGCAGTATTTTATTTATCAGGAGTTCATTCATGCCCTCGTGACTCACTCAGAGCCACTTGATGTGAGGGTGAAGTAAGGACTGATAGAAGAAAGTTGTTTTAATGTAAGTTAATACCACTCGCCAAATGAAAAGAAAAGGCCAGTCTGGGTTGCCAGGTGTGTGCAAAGCACTTGATTTGCAGTTCAAATCTAATCCTGCATCCAATCTTCAGTGCTAATTTCCCCCTCATGCTTTATTATAACATCACAGCTCACGAGACTAATTTTCACCTCAACGAGAATTCTTTCTAGATTTAATCTTGCGAGATCTCGTAACATCCCTACTCCCAGAGCCATTTATATCTAAGTTGGTATTTAGCCACACCATATTGGCATTTCGTAACATCTAGTTACGAAGCCAGGGCTCGAATTAATGATTGTGTGAGGTGACAGCACTACCCACTGCACCACCGTGTCACTCCATATACGATAATTGCTAACTTTATATCATAACTTACAAAAACGAACAAATCATTCAACATTGGATTTTGTTTTTCAGAAACTGGCATTTTTCTTTAGAAATTATTAAAAATAAAGTATTCATTTTGCAAAAACAACATGGTTTCTGTCCATTACTATTGTTAAGAAAGTTTCTTTAAGTCAGAATTTTTGTTTATAAATGGATAACCAGGTTGCAACTTAAAATGTGACCTTGGACCATAAAACTTGTGTTGCTCTGGTTGATTTTTGGTAACAGGCAAAAAATACATTGGATGCAACCCAGGCTCATTCTGAAAACGTACCTCTATATACATTTCTGGAGACCACAAAATACATCCCAGGAGGTACGTTATTTCGCAGTTTTTGTTTTCTCCAATCCATCAGAGGCCGCTGTGCACGCTTTATCTGATCTCAAATTCTTCTCGCGTGTGGCATTCGCGCTTGCTGTTCTCACGTAAATCCACCAGAGGCTACTGTCAACTGACTGACTAAATGACTGACTGACCGATCAACTGACCCACCCACCCACTTCCCTAAACCCAACCAACAATTTCCAAAAGCAATCAAGAAAAAGAAAAACCCTCTTCTGGTTTTTACCACGTTTTAAGATTTTACTACATTCTCACCCTGTTATTTACTTGTTTATTTTATTTTTTGGATTTTGTTTGTGTCCTACCAGCTTTTTGGAACGGTTCTTCACCAAACTCGAACCCCGTTGTGGTGGTCAACTCCTCTCTGTGTCTCAAGTCTGCTGACGTATATGGTGGCTAATGAGAAAACTGATTACAGCGGGTAAAACTCTCCATATGGAGGTAAGCAGTCAGCTAATATAAACATAAAGTGCTGCATTTTTAGAATGAGCCTCAGTTTATTGTATGGGTCAAAATGTTTCTTTTATGCCAAAAATCAGTAGAATATTAAGTAGTGTTATTCATATCCCATATTTTTTTGTATATTGTATTGTATATTTTTTGTATTTTGTATATTACCTGTTGTAAATACATCAAAACTACTGTAAATGTTTGATTAGTAAAATTTTAAACAATTTTTAAAGGCAATTTCCTTTAAAATATTTAGATTTTTCTAAATACTGATTCCAAAATTTCACATAGTTGTATCTTGGCCAAATATTGTCTAATCCTTACAAAACATAAATTAAATGAGATGCGATGTATAAAAGTCAGGTTGAAAATAATTAATACTTATGGTTGTCCAGGGTCACAATTGTCTAAAAATAGCTATAACATTTGGTCAATTCTAATGTAGTTAAAAACCTGCATGATCTCTGGACTGAATTTCTTCGAAATTGGTGTAATTTATTGCATAAAACTAGTTGTTGTTTTTTTTAAAGTTGATGTTTAAACCATCCACCATATCTATTTGCTATGTTCTTTTGTGTGCAGTATTGAATTAATCGAAAAGTAATTGAAATCGGCATGCATACTTCTTCATGCATGTTTATACTTCTTTATACTTGAGCGTATATACTTGAGCGCACATATGGACCGGCACAGCTTTCGCAGTCGCATACCCCTTGCTATGTCTGAGGCAAATACTGAAGTTATTTATTTTAAAAAAAAATTTGACTGTTCCTTTTAGTCAAAGTGTGTTTTAATTTCAATTGTTCAATGTTCTTGATCAATGAATAATCATAGATGGTAGGTAGTGCATGTTTCCTTCAATTATTTCAAAATCAAGCAATGCACCCTTCATTCAGAAATCTCTCACATGTAATATTCGAGCATATTTACTTTACAAGACCTGTCAACGAACTATGAAGGCAAAAAAATCTATAAAATAACTGTGATTAATCGTAATCCAGTTAAAATGTTAAATTAATCGAGATTTTGATTTTAGGCCAAATCGCCCAGCCCTATATTAAATGATATGATGAGTAAAAAAGGACAGAAGTTTAATATCAATATGAACTACCCGATTTATATGAATCTACATTGACATTCATTCGTTTTCTTTTAGCTTAGTCCCTATTTATCAGGGGTCACCACATAGGAATGAACGCCAACTCTGCTGACATGTTTTACGCAGCGGATGTCCTTCCAGCAGAAACCCAGAACTGGGAAACACCCATACACTCTCACATTAATCAACACTCACACACTACGACTAATTTAGTTTATCCAATTCACCCACAGTATAGTGTATGTCTTTGGACTTTGAGGTAAACCGGAGCATCTGGTGGAAACCCACGCCAACACGGGGAGAACATGCAATCATGCAACCTTCTTGCTGTGAGGCACCCTTTACATTGACTTTTGCAAAGAAATTTACCTGAGGAGTAGTAAAGAGAGCAAATACAGTGCTTTATTTTACAAGACTCTAGGTCCTCTAGCAAGTAGTTTGAATAGACACTGAAAACTGTGCATGTTTTATCCATCCTGCTCGACAACCAGCTTCCATAATTCAACATGGCACCTTTAACACACCAAGCATCTAATATATTTTTTCAGCTGGAGCACTAGAATAGCATTACGAGCTTTGCTGAAGTGTTGAGTTGCAGAGAATCCACAACCACAGCACAGGAGGAGGTCTCCGAATAACGAATGTACAGAGGAAATGACATGTCCTGCCAATGAAACATTCACAAAACCCAGACGTTACCCTTCTGACAGTGGAGAAATATTCATTTTTAATGCCGGGGAAAGTAGGTCTGGACAGACGATTTCATCTCTTGCTTTGTGGAAACTCGACAGTCCGTGCTGCCTCCAAAACAGAGCTGCAGCTGTCAAATCAACCTGTCAGGAATTGCCGAGCGATTTCCAGAGGTGAAATTATTTGCCAGGTTATACAGATGAAACCTGCTATCCAAACACATTAATAGGTGAAGGGATCTTTCAGCGGTAAGCGGAGCAAAAAATAACACAAATGTTGCACATCTGTATATCCATGACCCCATTCCTCATTTCAGGTAAACCTGTTTTAGTCGTAAGTTAGACAGACGTAGTATACACGCAGCCTTCAGATATGTAAATGTTATGCTACAATTTGCATTTGGCTGAATTAGATGCTAATGTCAATGACTTAGCATCTTGAAAATACTACTCTGTTTGCACCTATTTGTGGAAGTCTACAACAGACCCGAGCTACATATAACGGAAGAGGTACATGCTTTCATATGGAAGACATTTACTGTTCAAAAGGCTTCTGGAACATTCTCTTGCTGACTGATACGCAAGTGCATCGTCACTTTAATGGGCGGGACTTAGAGAAGGAAGAGAAGCAGGTGTGCAGAGCAGACAAAGAGCCCGAACTGAAATCGCTACAAAGTCAAAGTTGTCTGCTTATCTGCTCACGTTGCATGCAGATTAACACAACCGATGATGTATATAGTTGTGCGTGCACAGAAAGTAAGTGTATTTGGTTTGTTGATGTAAATGTCTCCTTATTTTAGATCGCGGGTGAAATGCGCCATAGCGCCATAACGCAATAGCGTCTAATGGCCGATTTTGGAGTTGTACCTGATAATAGTTGATAATTAAGCTTGTTTTTGTATGCAGTATACCTATTGCACGTAATGTTAATACTTTACATGTACAAATGTAATCGTTTCGTCGAGTTATTTACTACATATACATATTGATTATTATTTCATTGGAAAATGTGCCTCAGCCACGTTTAGTGATCTATTGGCGCCCTCTTGCGGTCAGTTAGGGAACAACTGCTCTAAATGTTTCCATTCATATGGTGCGGTTACTGCAATTTGTATTCATGTTTTAAAATTATAAGTATTGTTATTTGATGTTCTAATTGTTATTTATATAATTACTTATGTGAGATTATTTTTGTATTGTTTCAGAAAACCACAACTTATCATCAGTAAATGTTCAACTGAGAAATGGAGTCTGAGTGAATTTCTTTGAATAGATGACAGTAAACAGTTCTGACCGACTGTCTGCAGGGATTCAGATACACCCGAATCAGTGTTAAATTAAAACCTCAGTTACAAAGTGGTCCTTCGAGCCGGATGCTGAATAACTGCAGAAATGTCATCCCGTTCACAGCAAGAGCCTCCAGCTGTTCGCCCCAGAAGACATATAAAGCCTCCTGCATATCTAGCAGACTTCCAAGTACGTATGACTGGATCTGAGAGGGGATGCCAGCAACTTACATATTCAAGTGATGAAGAAGTTAATGCAGAATATTCTCCATTGTCTACTGAACGTGAGTCTCATGCCTCCTCACCTATAAGTCAGCGTTCTCCAACCAGTGATCTGGTGCTACAGGATGAATGGCAAAGTACACAGGGAGTGTTACAGAGAGAAGAGGATGAAAAGTATCATCAGTCGCAGCAGTCAGCCTGGGAGGAGATGCAACGAGAGAATGATGAGCTTCGTAGCTGCATCCGACAAATGCCAGAGATTTTAAGTGTATTAAAGGGTCTTAAAGAGGAAAATATTGTAATGAAACGAGAGATCCAGCAGCTAGCCTCAAACGTAGCCATTCAGCATAAGCCAGTCGCTCGATTACCAGCTCCTCGCCCTGACGTACCAGAAACAGTTCATAGCCAGCCTCTGTCCCCCACACAAACCAGCGATTTCCCTCAGTACCCCTCTGGGCAGATTAAGCAGATAACAGAGCAGATGAGAGATTGCACTGTCTCACCTATACCAGTAGAGCAGCCCCAAGCACTGCCAAGGTATCGTACTCCTAATCCAAGACTAGCTCCTCATCTTCAGCCTCATCCACATAGTGAACCCATCCACTACTATGAGCCCAGAGAGAATTATCCCTCACACTCAGACCAACGAGAATCCTACAATATGCAGCGTTCAAGGATTGTGCCTCCATCTGCAGTGCCATACTCTCAAGAGAGAACATACCGAGGACCTAAGCCTTCTATTCCGTTCTTATCAACATCGGATCCACGAGAGTTTTCAAGGTTGCGCATGGCTTTAGAGAATCTCCTACCCAGTGATGCATCTGAACGTTTCCGATATCAAATCCTCACAGATCATCTACAGTTAGAGGAGGCATTGCTAGTAGCAGACTCATATTGCAACTCAACACACCCTTATACGGACACTATGCAAGCCCTCATTAACATGTATGGTCAGCCACACAAGCTGGTCCTGCAGAACATCGCTGAGGTCATGGATGGCCCCAATATCAGAACTGGAGATGTTGAAGCTTTCAAGCTGTTTGCGCTTCGAGTGCGTTCTCTGGTGAGCATGCTAGAACAGCTGGGTCCTGAAGGTAATATTGAATTGGACTGTGGGTCACATGTTTCAAGACTGCAAAGCAAACTCCCTCATGAGCTGAGAACTAGCTTCAAGAGATATATACACCCTATGAGAGTAGTTATACCAACCCTCATCGATTTCTCTGACTGGCTAGAGTATGAGCTACAAGTTCAGGATGATGGCGTCAAAACTTCAGGTTTCACACCAGGCCCCAGCAACAAGAAAAGGCTGGAGTATCGTAATCCTAAGGCTGCCAGGAAACCCACAACCATCCTGCTAGGCACAGAGAAACCAATGAGTGGGAGAATTAGCCAACCACAAGCCTCAGAGGTGACACCTAAATCTGCCAGGTTTAAAGGACGGTTAAGTGCATATTGCCCCTACTGTGACAATACCAATCACTTCTTGAATGGGTGTGCTAATTTCAAAGACCTTACCAAAGAGCAGAAAGAGTCCTGGATTCGGAAAACAATCGATGTTGGTGTTGCGGACGCAGCCATCATGCCTCGAAATGCACCCTGAAATCCCCCTGTAAGACTTGCAACAGGAGACACCTATGTATATTGCATGACGTAAATGAACGGACTGTAGATTACACTGCAACAGCTACAAAAGAGAACTCCTGTCTAGTTAACACCACCAAGGATGTCCTGTATGTTGATCGCCCAGTTTATAGCCGTAAAGTACTTCTGAAGGTGAGCAAAGTCATCATTACCAATGGAGACAAATCCATTGAGGCATATGCTGTTTTGGACGACGGGTCGGAGAGGACCATCCTGCTCCATACTGCAGCACAGGAATTAAATCTGAAAGGGCAGCCAGAGGACCTAATACTGCGGATGGTGAGGCAGGACCAACAGGTTCTTCACGGGGCGGCAGTCTCATTCACAGTGTCACCTGTCAGTAACAAACACAAAAAATTCTCCATTCAAGGTGCCTTTACAGCAGAAAGACTTGGACTGGCAGAACAATCTCACCCTGTTGCTTCCCTCCAAAAGAGGTACTGCCATTTAGCAGGGCTACCCTTGCAGCAAATAGACAGAGTACAGCCTGTACTGCTCATTGGCTCAGATTGTCCACACTTGGTGACCCCAATTGAGCCTGTTCGTCTAGGCCCTCCAGGTGGACCCGCTGCTGTACGAACTCGACTAGGCTGGACACTACAAGGCCCAACACACGAGATTAAGCATGGCCGCAATACTCACCAATGCCTCTTCACCGCTATACCTCATAATGCTGAACTGTTTGCCCAAGTATAAAGGCTACGGCAGATGGACGTAATCCCATATCGCAATGAGAAAGTAGTGACTCGGTCAAAACTTGATCACGAGGCCATCCAACTCCTACAAGAGAAAACTGTAAGAGTTGATGTGGATGGAATTATGCGATATGCAACACCACTGCTGCGTGTACAACATATGCCGACTCTGCACATGCCTAAAGAAGCTGTACTGCCACAGCTCAGAAGCATTGAACGTAAGCTGATGAAAACACCTGATCAGGCATGTGCTTACAAAGCTGAAATTGAGAGACTCAAGAATGCTGGTTATGTGGAGAAACTACAACCAGGTGAAGCTGAGAAATCACAAGAATCATGGTACATCCCTCACCATATGGTCACCTACAATGGCAAGAATCGTGTTGTGTACAATTGCTCATTTCAGTATGAGGGACAAAATTTGAATAAGCTGCTACTACCAGGTCCCACTTTGAGCCCCACCTTGCTAGCAGTGTTACTACGTTTCCGAGAACACTCAACAGCTCTGAGTAGCGACATACGAGGGATGTTTCATCAGGTGAGGCTGCTCCTGGAAGACAAATCCTTGCTTCGGTTCTTGTGGAGAGACATTGCTGTAGATCAAGCCCCAGAAGTGTACGAGTGGCAGGTACTTCCCTTTGGGACTACATGCAGTCCCTGCTGTGCAACATTTGCTCTCCAAAAACACGTAAAAGACCACAGTCAACCCGGAGATCAGGTGAGGGAAGTGATCGAAAAGTCATTCTATGTTGACAACTGTCTTTACAGTCTCCCCTCCAAAGATGGAGCCAAAGATCTTGTTGATCAGCTTTGTGCCCTATTGAATGAAGGAGGCTTTGAACTGCGTCAGTGGGCCAGCAATTGTCCAACAGTAGTCACCCACCTTCCCTGTGATAGAAGATCGAATAACTGTGAGCTCTGGCTTAGTCAGGGACTGCAAGATACCCAAGAATCTACCCTGGGACTGCTCTGGCGCTGTCAGTCAGACACTTTGCACTACAAGCACAGGGAAGTGAACTGTACTAAAGTAACCATGCGCAGCATTTATTGTGTCCTGGCCAGCCAATACGATCCCCTTGGCTATATTATCCCCTACACCACAAGAGCGAAAATACTAGTGCAGCGTCTATGGGATAAAAAGCGTGATTGGGACGATCCACAACTGCCTGAAGATCTGCTCAGTTTATGGAATTCATGGGAGAAGGAGTTGTGTGAGCTAGACAAGATAACACTGCCAAGATGCTACACCAGTCCAGACATGGATGTACCAACTACCAGACGAGATGTACATGTATTCTGTGACGCGTCGGAGAAGGCTTATGGGTCTGTGGCCTATTTGAGGACAGAAAGCACAGAAGGACAGGTTGAAGTTGCCTTTCTAGCAGCCAGGTCACGTGTTGCTCCCCGAAAGCAACAGTCTATACCTCGCCTTGAACTGTGTGCAGCTCTAAGTGGTGCCCAGCTCTCCAAGGTCTTAGTCACAGAGCTCACATTACCCATCTGTTCCTTAACCCTCTGGTCAGACTCCACGACTGTACTTACCTGGTTATTGTCAAGTTCTTGTCGTTACAAGGTGTTTGTGGGAACACGAATAGCGGAAATTCAAGAACTCACAGCTTCTGCAAGCTGGCGATACATACGATCAGAGGACAATCCTGCGGATAGTATTACAAGAGGAAAAAAGCTGTGTGACCTAGTCAAATGTAACCAGTGGAATCAAGGCCCCTCATTTCTTAAGCTGCCTGTAGAGACATGGCCAGAGCAGCCATCCTTGCCTGCTGAAGAGCAGCAGCACGAACTAAGGCCAGCTGTGTTTTGTGGAGCAATTACAGTCACACCCTTGCCAAATCCACAGCAGTATGAGACAATGACTGAGTTCATAAAAGCGTGTAATCAGCAGCTATACGGGGCGGCCAACATTACATGTGCTGATGAACAAAGACAACTGGAACAACTTGTTCTTTGTCAAATCCAAACTGAATCCTTCCCTACTGAGATGGCCCAACTAAAGTCCGGTAAACCAGTATCAGGTACAAGCCGATTGGCTTCTCTTTCTCCCGAACTTGACCCTACCACTGGTCTCATTCGGGTAGGTGGCCGTTTAAGACATCGCACAGAAGCAGAGCTGGACTGTATTCACCCCATAGTCCTTGACTCCCACCATCCTGTAACTAAACTTATTATTAAGGATTATGATAAGAAGCTACATCACCCTGGATCAGAACGAGTGTTCGCAGAGATGAGGAGAACATATTGGGTGTTACGAGGACGTGAAGCAGTTCGGAGACATCAGCATCAATGTGCAGAGTGTCGTAGATGGAAAGGGAAACCAGAAGTTCCCCTGATGGCAGACTTGCCACTTGCAAGACAACAGCTCTTTAAACCTGCCTTCTTCTCAACAGGGACGGATTGCTTTGGACCTTACCTGATTAAGATTGGACGGAGAAATGAGAAGAGGTGGGGCATAATATTCAAGTGCCTCACGACAAGGGCAGTGTATATAGATCTGTTGGCCAGTATAGATTCTGATTCATTCCTAATGGCCTTAAGACGTTTTATCGCTCGACGAGGAAAGCCATACGAGTTACTAAGTGATCAAGGCACTAACTTCAAAGGTGGAGAACGAGAGTTGAAGGAATCTCTTGGCGCCTTGCACAGCGAGCTCCAAAGTCATCTTGCCTCCCAACAAATTAAGTTTGTCTTCAATCCACCGGGAGCACCCCACTTCGGGGGATGCTGGGAGAGAGAAATACGTTCAATTAAAGCTGCTCTCCAAGTTACACTAGGGGCACAGACTGTGACGGAGGAAGTTTTAAGAACAGTCTTAACTGAGATTGAAGGGATACTTAACTCAAAACCGCTCAGCTACACATCATCAGACATTTCTGATGTAGATCCAATCACTCCCAACTGCTTCCTCATTGGCCGCAGAGATGCCTCACTGCCCCAGGTGGTGTATCAGGACTCAGGAGTGATAAGCCGACGCCGTTGGAGACACAGCCAGCTGTTAGCAGACCACTTCTGGAGACATTTTATTAAGTACTACCTGCCCAATCTCCAAGTTCGGCGGAAATGGAAAGCAGAAAAGGAAAACCTGCAGGTTGGCGAAGTAGTGATGATTGTCGATTCTCAGCTCCCTCGAGCTCTATGGCCAGTGGGGAAAATCGAGCAAGTACATCCAGGAGCTGATGACAGAGTAAGATCAGCCACTGTACAAGTTGGAAGGAAAACATATACCCGACCAGTAGCACGTTTAGTTAAGCTGCCAACCCTTGTTGAAGATTGATCCACTTTAAGGAAAGAACCTTTTGTAAATGTGCGAATTCAATTATTGAATTCGGGGGCGGCTGTTCAAAAGGCTTCTGGAACATTCTCTTGCTGACTGATACGCAAGTGCATCGTCACTTTAATGGGCGGGACTTAGAGAAGGAAGAGAAGCAGGTGTGCAGAGCAGACAAAGAGCCCGAACTGAAATCGCTACAAAGTCAAAGTTGTCTGCTTATCTGCTCACGTTGCATGCAGATTAACACAACCGATGATGTATATAGTTGTGCGTGCACAGAAAGTAAGTGTATTTGGTTTGTTGATGTAAATGTCTCCTTATTTTAGATCGCGGGTGAAATGCGCCATAGCGCCATAACGCAATAGCGTCTAATGGCCGATTTTGGAGTTGTACCTGATAATAGTTGATAATTAAGCTTGTTTTTGTATGCAGTATACCTATTGCACGTAATGTTAATACTTTACATGTACAAATGTAATCATTTCGTCGAGTTATTTACTACATATACATATTGATTATTATTTCATTGGAAAATGTGCCTCAGCCACGTTTAGTGATCTATTGGCGCCCTCTTGCGGTCAGTTAGGGAACAACTGCTCTAAATGTTTCCATTCATATGGTGCGGTTACTGCAATTTGTATTCATGTTTTAAAATTATAAGTATTGTTATTTGATGTTCTAATTGTTATTTATATAATTACTTATGTGAGATTATTTTTGTATTGTTTCAGAAAACCACAACTTATCATCAGTAAATGTTCAACTGAGAAATGGAGTCTGAGTGAATTTCTTTGAATAGATGACAGTAAACAGTTCTGACCGACTGTCTGCAGGGATTCAGATACACCCGAATCAGTGTTAAATTAAAACCTCAGTTACATTTACTGTAAGTCTGTGGTTCCCACAGTAAGCGTTTTGGTTAAACTGCTTTAAAACTCATATCAAGATACAAGATACTTATAAATAACATTAAAGTCAAGAGAAAAGAAAGCTATGTAGGCCTACTGTACAGACTACTGTACTAAAAAACTTGTGTGGCTGTTTAAAAGTGTTCAACCACAATCAATTCCTTATAAAACTATAATACCAAGGCTCAAGACACAAAACTAACACTTAATATACACTACCTGACTAAAGTCTTGTCATCAATCTCAGTTGTAAGAGCAACTTGACGTCCCGTTGATCATTTGGAAAAGTGGCAAAAGTTAGATTTTTCTGATGACCTGTTGAGCTGCATCCCAATCATCAAATTTACTGCTGATGAACCTGCATGACCCAAGATTCTCACAAAAATCATTCAAGTTTGGTGAAGGAAAAGTCATGGTTTGGGGTGTACGAGAGATCTTCTGAGTGGATGCCAACATCAACACCCTAAGGTATTAAGACATTTGTGCTGCCCATTACATTACAAACCACAGGAGAGGGTAAATTCTTCAGCAGGATAGCGCTTATCATACTTCAGCCTCCACATCAAACTTCCTGAAAGCAAAGAAGGTCAAGGTGCTCCAGGATTGGTCAGCCCATGAACATTATTGAACATTTCTGTGGGAAGATGAAGGGGGCATTGAAGATGAATACAAAGAATCTTGATGAACTCTGGGGGCACTGCAAGAAAGCTTTCATTGCCATTCCAGGTGACATTGTTAATTATTTATTTGCATCATTGCAGAGATGTATGGATGCATTCGGCCATGCTCATGGAAGTCATACACAATTTTAATTCGTTTTCCACTGCACCACGACTTTATACTGTACATTATTTCTGTTAAGTGAAAAGACTTTTCAGAACTTACTGTCCTAATTAGATGATTAAAAATTAAGGCATGATCATACAGTATTTTATTCTGGTAAAATAAGTGTAATCTAGAGACCTTTGTCCTTCATAAAAGCCACATCTGATACCAAATGATCAACAAGAATAGGCGACAAGACTTTTGCCAGGTTCTATATGTAGCACACTTAACAAGTCCAAAGAAATGTGGTACAGGTGAATTGGGCTAAATTTTCCGTAGTGTATGAATGTGTATGAGTGTGTATGGATGTTTCCCAGTGATGGGTTGCGCTGCGTAAAAACATATGATTGATAAGTTGTCAGTTCATTCCGCTGTGGCGACCCTAGAATAAAAAAGGAACTGAGGCGAAAAGAACATTAATGAATGTTATGCTGCTTGCATGTAGAGGTTTTTAAGCTTTATCCCACGGCAACTCTGAACTTTTTGGTTTAGTAAACACCATTTTGCAACTTTTTTTGCTAATTCATATCAATTTGTATGATCTCATTTGTAAATCTTTGTATGATTTGCTGATACCCAATGACTTATGTTTATTGGTGGGGTTTGGGGACATGTCTAATTTAAAAAAAAAAAAAAACATGTTTTTGTATGAATTAAACTATACCTTCATACGAATTGGCCACTTTTCTGACAATATAGTTATGCTTCCTTGAGAGATTTGGCTGTCTAACATATGACTAATTATTTGAGTCATATTTTATGTTTAAGAAACTGAGATTAGAATGCATTTGACCCGAAAATTGTCATTAAGTGGTTTGCTACCCAGCAGACACACAATGTCATAAGACTTAAATATTAGGTTAGATTTAGGTCATCAGCGTCTAAGGAAAACGTTATTTTGATGTCTAATAATGACGTGAAATGACGTTGATATTTGGTTGACATTAGGTTGTGTTGGAAAGTGCCCAAAAACCAATGTCTAGCCAACATCCTAAACCAGCATCATTATGATGTCAAATACTGACATTTATTTGTTAGGTATGGCCACCAAAATCAAATGCCTGATAGACATCATATTGGTAACGTCAACACAACGTTAAGCTGTAACATCATTAGATGTTAATGGTTAATTATTTTTAGGTTCCGTTGGAAAGTCATCAAAATGATCTGTCTGTCCAATGCAACATTCCACGATGTTGGGTTACATTGTCAATCGGGCCTCATATTGACGTCCTGTGCCTGCTGGGTACGTAGCATAGTGAATGTTTATTTGTTAACTTACAATGCTACATTTTAGTCTTCGTGAAAATAAAGCTCATAATCAGCTGATTTTATAAAAGGGGTACTTTATAAAATGTGAAGGCCGCATCAGATCCAAGAGCCTCACTTGTCCTGAAAAAAATTTGAACGGCTCCTTTTTGCTGGCTGCAGTATTGTGCCTAAACTCTGTGGCTCTTCATGTAAACGAATGGGACGTGAGCTAAAAATAATTACAAATTTGGTTGTAAACATCAGCATCCATTTGCAACATTTAAATCCCCCTAGCTACACTGGAAATAAATGGAGAGATGTCCATATTTTTCCAGATGTTCAGCACAATTTATTGCACATTTAATCAACACATACTAAAACTGTTGTTGTTGTTTGAGAGGTAAAATATAAAAATCTAATTATCATGATTTGAAGTCCAACCACGACTGTGTGTCCAGTAGAAGTGACAGTCAATTATGATGCGATTGACCATGAATAAAGATAAATGCGATTAACTGCTTTAGTAAAATTTCTTAGAGGTTGTGATTTGCTGCCTGTGAGATCGTTATGTTTTTATCTTAATTCTCTGACGTGGGTGGCAGGACGCGAGAATTTTGAAACTCTGGAAAATGGGTCGTTTGCCAAAAAAAGTTTGAAAAACCTTGTGGTAATAGCTTGCACAAGATCATCTAGTACATGATATTAAACCCATTTAACACGAGCTGACAGGAATTAGACAGTTAATGTAAATCATCTTATATAACTGAGGCCCTTTGTGCTAAAAGTTGAGCACATCAGCAGACGCATAATCATATTCACAGTTCTTGTTCATTTAGAGGGAATGTCGTAACATGGTCAGACTCCACCAAGTGCAAATTACTCCAAGTTATAGACTTTAAAGTGATCCCTTCCTCCTTTTCTTCATTCGTGGTGCCGAACAGATGAACTTTGTATGTATAGTGTTTCTTATATTTAAATGTTCAAGAGGACCGCATTACCTTTTTTATGATTTTGATTGTAATAGGGTCTTATCAAAACCAGATGTACGTAGTAATAACAGGCAGCTGCATAACTCAGCCTCGGGGCCTTTCCTTACATTAAAAAAAATGAGCAAAAGGAAAACTTCCACATGCTAACATTTACACAGTGATTTCTTTTAATTGCACTCTGCTTTTTAATTTGCCTCGGACTGATGCTTTTAAAAATGCGCAGAAGGTATTTTATTGAAGTTTTGCCTGGGCCGCGTTTCCGTGCATGTCCTTCTCGCTGTAGTGAATACCTGGCAACCTGCATTCCTCGTTTCATTCCCAGAGTCAAACGTGTCACACGGCATGTCGAATGAGCAGGCTTCCGTCAGGTCTTTGCTTCAAAGGATTACTGTAAATTAACATTCCTTATGTTGGGCTGCATGGACAAGTCCCAGTGAATCATGTTCGAGGCTCTGGTTGCAGCCTGGACCAGAGAATTGAGGTTTGAAGCTACATGACCTGAAAAGGAGCATTGTGTTGAATCCAATGCTTCTTGAAACTTTCAGTGATGATGAAGAACCTTTAAAGGTATAGCTCACCCAAACAAGAAGAATCACTGTTATCTTACTCACCCGCAGGCAATCCAAGAGTACAGTAGGGGACTTTTGTCTTCAGTAGAACATCGAAGAAGATTTCTGATCTGAAACTGTGGTTCTTGGACATTCATGACATTACAGTCATTGGTACTTACAATACCAACATCAGCAACAATAATAAGAAAAACATGTACAGTACAGGCAAATCAAAATGAGTTCCTGTGACTCCTGATGATACGGGTCTGTCTCATGAAGGTTGAAACTGATGCTCTTTTTCTACATCATAGTTTGTCAGCATCTAGGTTAAACACAAGTACCATTTTTTCCTCTTTCACCTTTGAACAAACAATGTGATGTTGTGCAAGCTTAAGTCTCGTAATTTTTTTTTATAATTTCATTTAATTTTTGTTTGTTTTGTGCATTTTATGACGACCAAGTTTCACGTTTTCATTTTTCAATGATCTATAAAAACAACTACTGTACTATATCTTAGCCTGAGTAAAGTAACAGCAATTTTTCATGTTTCGATTAAATTATCCCGGACGAGCCCCCACTTTTTTACAACCTCTCTTTAAGATGGCTCGTTTAAAACAGCCCCTATTATGGGTCTTTGAAAATGACCTACCATGCAGCGTGCAACAAACCTCTGAGTGAACAAAAACAGCCAGCTGAGGTTTAATTTTTTTTTAAATAAAAGATTCGACTCAGAGTCGTTTAAATGACTTGTCGTTCGTCCGGATCTTCTGCCCTTTCGTATCGACGTTACATGAAACAATACCATATATGTTCTGTGCCGGATCTGGTAAAACGTGAACGCGCCTTTCCCTTTAGACCAGGGTCTCAAACTCGCGGCCAGCGGCCCTCAGTGCAATATTTTGTGGCCTGCGCCGACCGCTGTACACTGACAGAATCAGCGGAGCGGGGAGAGAGAGCGCTCCCCGCTCCGCTGATTCTATCCGTACACAGGGGTCACTGGCATTCCCCGCCCGCCATGTAAACAAAGCCACGTTTACACATTTATGTTGTTAATAATGACATTTGAGGCCTTTTTTTTTGTGAAATCCCTTATGCGGCCCAGTCTCATCCAGACTTTGCCTCCTGCGGCCCCCAGGTAAATTGAGTTTGAGACCCCTGCTTTAGACACTAGCTGAGTGCAGGTGTGTGTGGGACTGATCGTGACTGAAGATGAATGAATATTAATGAGTGAACGTTCTGGTGATTAATGCAATAATCTACCCTGCAACAGGACATTCATCGGCATTTGTTAAAGGAAGGATCAGAACAGACTATTGATTTATGGGACTTTATCAGAGCGTGAAATTAACTTTA